ATAAAAGTATAACTTTTTATATTAATTTCATATAAAACTCTTACAGTAAAATTATTCGATATTCTTATTTATTATTACTACAACAATTAATTAACATATTAGAAATATTCATTGTCGGTAACACGGCTGTGACACAAAACATCACGTGGAAAAAATGTGAAATACTAACACCACATTTGTTTGTATTTATTTGCATTCAATCATATATAATTATCACTCCCACTAGAGCGTACATACATCAAATTGACAGAAATATTAGTGAGTTTTGTCCTAACTGTAAATTGAGCCGGAATCTTTAGAATATATATTCACACATTGCTCCTTTTTTCTTCATAATCATGGTATTCGGATTAAGCTTGTGCCCATTTCGATTAATCTTATGGGATATCTGATAATTTTTATAAGCATAAGTATCAAGAAAATCATTCCATTAAGGATCAAACATATAGGAGGAAATCACTCACTATTTTTGTTTTTCCTAGAATTTGAACATGAGAATCATGGTCCTCGACTCACTTCGACAATTAAACTATACCCTTGAGTGCATTCACACACTGGCCCATTGTCAACTCCTTCTAAAGAACCATGACTATTAACTCTATAAGAATAAATTATGCGGAACAAGAGCATTGAATTATGTACGTTTTTAACGCAGTGGAAATCATTTAACTCATCACCAAAAGAATTGTCGCAAGTCAAACTTTGATTCGCTACGAAACAAAGTTTAATATATGAACTAAATGCCTTGATCATGTTTTCTTTTGGGGGGGGTTACAAACAATAATCCTTTTCACTGTTAGAGATAAAATGAGCATTTTTTTAGGGGAGAAGAAGTTCTTCAAATAACCCCTACACAGCCAGGTTGTTTTTTTATTAACTGTACAGTTTTTCTCTTCAGTAACTTCCTCCAAGGAGTTAATTTCTATTTTTATCTCTTTCAAAATGCCACACGGAGGACGCAAGATCCAACATCGAGTATCCTCCACTTTGCTCATAGTAGGCTAGACCCAAAAGTAACGTCATGTCAATAACACAAGCTCCATGTAGAAATTCAATCACATGTGAAAGAATTCACTGCTAACATGAGGATCTTATTACCCGCATGCTCCAAACATCATTCGCTAATTCAATAGCTTATTCAAAACCTCGTCCTCGAAAGAGGTGAACTCGAGTTCATTTATAATATTGTACCACAATTACATTCAATACCCTTATGGTAAGTGTAATGGGCGAACTGTGGATACAAGTAAAAAAATTATTTTAGTTGTCTTTCCTTTCTATTCGAATCTATCTATTACAAATTAGCTGATTTCTTAGACATTCACTGCATTGCCTAATCAATCATGACTATTACAACATCAACAACAACAACAACAACAACAACAATAACCCAGTAAAATCTCACAAGTGGGTTTGGGGAGGGTATAGTGTACGCAAACTTTACCCATACTCTGGAGGGGTAGAGAGGTTGTTTCTGAAAGACCCTCGACATGACTATTAGTGACATATTAAGTACCAACAACTTCAAGAGACAGTCAAAGGTCAAAGGGTACTTTAATGAAAAATTAATATAACTTTTCGGGATCTCACACAATGAAGAAGCATAGATTCATTCTTCTATTACCCCATTGGTTTGCTTAGCACATGTGATATGAAACACATGCTATGATGTCATTATCTTAGTCCAGCGTGTGTGTGTCATTCTCAAATATTAAAGACCGTACAGATCTTGGTCGAGACGCCTCCAAATGACTAGCCCGAGTTTTTCATTCGAACAATCTTCAAATCTAACCTTTTGAAAAACTCACATCTGGCTTACAAATAAGTCATAAGGATGGTGGAATCATTAGTCTAAGCTCGTCAAGACTGACCATTTTATTAAGATTCACGACCTTATACTAATCAAGGCTCCAATAGTTCTTATCTCTACACGTTTCTAGACGTTAGAGGCGATCGCTTGTGTGAGAGAGTTGATCTCGCGATTTGTTCGTCACACTTATATTCTTCACAAGGATATCATCACATACATACAGAATATCAGCATAATTTCAACAAAATGCATTGACGACTATACTATTTTAATAAGAATATCTTACAATATATAAACATTAACATATCCTTGGCAAATCTAGAGTCACAATGTTTCTCAAACATGTCTCTAGATATTGATTTTGTAAGAAAATCAACTATTATTGTTGTGTAGAAATGTATTGTACTGTTATTTCTCTACTTGCCATGATGTCTCCCAAGAAGTTATACTTAATACCAGACCTTAGGCATAATAAATATTCGGGCGAGTATACATCATAACATATATCAAGCTCCCAACAGTACTTAAATATGAAAATCAAAATGTTTCTTTTAATTTTAAGTCCTTGGAGACATATCAAGGCTTAAAGTTTTGCGTCTTACTATAGGAGTATCCATGGGTTAGAAATTATTCGTTCGGAAGCTTTCCAAAAAACAATTCTATAAGTTTCTCTAGATAGACTTAATAATCTCTTGGAATAGTTATACATGTACTGCACATGTACAATTAAATTGAAATTGAATTTTTTGATATTTTTATTGCTTTTTTGAACAATTTATGTATCAAGTCGATTTTCTTGTTGATTTCTCTATCAAATTACGAACTTGCAGCATATATTTTAAATTTTATTTTTGATTTTATCTATTTGGAAGAAAATTTAGTATTTTCGAGTTCCATTGTGGTTGATTTACATTTTTTATCAAACACTTAAGAATCAAAGTAAGTGAAGAGCACGGAAAGGTTGGTTGTATAAAAAGGAACAATAACAATAGTTGATCGTACGAAATACGCTGTTTTTTCCGGACCTTAGCTTATTATTTTCAGGTTATAAATATGCTAAGTTATAACTAGATCACTTGGTTGTAAAGTATGTCTGTGAGTTATATTTAGAAAATTTTATCTCATATAGCAAAGGTATACACCTTATTTATTATAAATCAAAATTATTTTAAAATACATAAGTAGGCACCTGAACTATAGACCAAATCTCTGTTATACACCTTCTGACGACGAATATTATTTTACACACTCAACCTTTCCATAGTGTATCTAATACACACTATTTTTTTCTTGACCAATTTTTTAAAATATGTGTAATATCACGCACCAATAAAAGAGACTCCAAAATTAAAAATAATTGAACGAGCCGTAAAAATTACCATAGCACGAGACCCCAAAATTGTTTCACCTGAAAACCCCAAAACTCCATAACCACCGTCCCTTTCAATCGACCCCCGTGAAAAATAAAAAAACATAACAGAAAATACCATAAAAACTTAAATGGGGATGATAAGGCACAAAGGTCAGATCTTGCTTTGGAAAAGAAATGAGGGAGAAAGAGAACTTGCACTTAATTAACAATCGAAAAAAATGAAGATGAAAAGAAGAAGAAAGAAATACAGGAGAAAAATAAGAAATGAATAGAATAATGGGACTCACTAGTGCCATGTGTTAAAAGTTGTGACACATGGCACTTAATTAAGGATCTGGACTGAAATTTAGAGATTTTATGCGCTTACTTTGTTTGTTAGACACGCGCATGGTATCTTCAAAAAGTAGTCTACATTAGATACATTTCAAAAAGGTTGAGTGTGTAAGATAATATATAACAAGGATTTGGTGTATAGTTCAGGTGGCTATTTATGTATTTTGCCTTTTATATTTTATAGCAAAATAAGTATTTATGTATATACTACCATTGAGGCATGAAATACGTTATTTATGTTTTTCCTCTCTCTTAGACAGCTGGACATACATACCTATTTTTAAGGTGATTGGTGTTACTGTATTCATGAATACATGACGCGAATACATGTGAATAGACTCCCCTGATTTTTAGGCGCTTTTTGCTGTTGTATTCATGAATACAGCAGCGCGAATACACTACCGTAACAACTGAATAGTATCTATAGGAAGTAACTATGTATATGGTAGCTATAGGAAGTTAATAGCCACTAAACAATAGTGGTTTCTGAAAATTATGTAATTCTCTCAATTAATTAACCCTCCGAGGCTTCAATTTGAAGAATTTGGAGTCTAAGGCCCCGTTTGGCCATACATTTTGACACCGTTTTTTCAAATCTTTTTTGAAAACATTATTTGTTCATAGATTAATGATCTATTTTTGAAAAATTTCTCAAAATAATTTTTCAAGTTCCCAAAATCTAGTTTAGGGTAGATTTTGGGTGAAACTTGTTCTCCCACTCACAAAACTTCAAATTTTTTTCAAATGAAATGCATGTTCAAAAATTATTTTTCAAAACTACTTCAAAAATTATTTTTCAAGTTTCAACTAAATCTATGTCCAAACGCTAGCTAAGTTTCAAAATTGAGGGGTTACTTAAACTTGTGTTTTCTACCACTCCTGCGGACAAATTGTCTTCTATTTCTTTCTTGTGTTTTAGATTTATGTATGCACACCAGATCATAAGTAGAGAAAGTAACTTCAAATTTTATTATGGTTCCTATTCATAAGTTATACTCCTTCCGGTTAATTTACGTGAACCTATTTGATTGACACAGTGTTTAAGAAAAAATGAAGATTTTTTGAATTTATGGTCATAAACAAGTCAAAAAGGGACCCAAAATACTTGTGTGATTATAAAAACTTCTTATTAAGAATAGAATTATAAATTTAAGCTAAATTGCTTCCAAATTTAGAAAGGGATAATTTTTTTTGGAACGGACAAAAAAAATAAATTCACGTAAACTGAAACGGAGGGAGTAAGTACTTATATACGTGTGTTTATAGATAAAGTTTCATTTGCTGAGTTAGAAAAATAAGGACAGATACGATAACAAAAATGAATAACTACAAGTAATTTTTTGTTGCCTTAACTTCTAACTAGGACAAAGTTAAAGTCAAGTCAATATCAAGTTAAAATTTTACGGACACTGAACGGTGCACGTGATCTTCTCTTTGAGTATATTTATTTTACTATCTTTTACAATTTTATTAATTCAGATCATCTAATTCAACCGTTTCCTTTTACCATTAAACAATAGTTTCAACAAATTCCTTGCAAATTGAAGCACTACATGCTAAAAGTAAACTTTCAGAACGCAAATTCATTTCACAAACAAACTACGAACATAGAGCAACTATCCAATGAAAGTATCAACACACAATGCAAACCTATCCAAAATCCAAAGTAGAAACTATCAACACAGACCAACTATCCAAAATGAAACGACGTGGTAAGATATTTCCAAATGTTTCATCATATCATACTGAAGAGGAACCTGTTTTTGATACGTGAGATAACGCGTCCTCAAACTGATGGTCATCGGACTTCCCTGCACTCAAGCATGGTGGAATAAAAGATCTGAAGACAACATCCATGTTCGGAACTTCTTTTAGTTCGTGAGAGACGACTTCGAGGGCTGGAGATTCAAAGAAACGACGGAACTTCTTCTGACAAATGAACGCGAAGATAAGGGAGAATATTGGAAGTGGGAAAAGAACTGGAGTAGGCGCGAACTTTTTAACTCCAAAGTAACCGCACATGTTAACTTGATACAAAATCAAGGTAGCTAACATGCGCGTGTGAATATGCGGCCACATTCTTCCGTAGCTCTCGAATGAAGGAACGTACACTTTCAGTGCCTGTTTGAAGACAAATTTAGGAGAGTATAGAAAAACTGTGTACAAGTACATGTGAAACTTGTATATCTATATATCCATTTTGGATATAGATGATTCATATAATCGACCACCTAATTTGGAATTAAAGCTTAGTTGATCGGTATATAAACACTAAGACACCAAAACAACTACTCAGTCCGTTTCATTTTATATCAAGGTATTTCATTCAGTAACGAGTTTAAGAAAGAAAAACTTTTAACACATAACAAAAGTATCCTTAAAACATGCGGTCTTAAACATGCAACAACAACTCAAGGTTAAATTGGAAGTTTAACGTAAACAGAGTCTCCAAATATGGAAATGTATTATTCTTTCTGGAATAAACTAAAAAAGAAAGTGAGATATAAAATGAAACATAGGCAGTATTATTCACCTGATTCCGTAGAAGAAGCCACCCAAGACCGAAGTAAACCACTCCAAAGGGTAAAATAATTGGAGCTATGACGGAATAGCATAGGACAATCGTCATAATCAGCATATCACTAGGAAATCGAGTTGCATAGCCTAGATCGCCAGGAGCCCAAGCCTCTTTTATCTCAGCTTCAGTTTTGCACAGATACTTCTTCTTAAGATGGAATATGATTAGAGGAACTATTCTGGACAGCTCCAGCCCATAGCCGACAAAGAACCTGCGATCAACAAATTATTAGCAAAATCATTAGACTAGTTATATCAAGTGGAGAAGCAGAAGGGAAACTACCAGCAAAGAAAAAATAAGATTCAGGACCATAAAAACACCTTGAATTGTGCGAAGAGAATAAACTTCAATGAACCATTATTGAGATTAAAAGGAGAATTAATATTCTCTTCACTAGCTATACCACTCTGAACCGAGCTTTAAGCCACAGAAGCACACACTTAATAAAAATAATAACTCAACGTCAACAAAGAAAATAGTATAAAGAGAGTGGTTTTTATCAAAGATCAGAAGACATATCGGCCACAACACAAGGCAACATACCGTTAGAAGAAAAAAAAAAAGATAAAATTGTAGCTGCGAAAATAAAAGCGAAAGCAAGCTCAAGACTTACTTCAAAGCCACAAAGGTCAAGAAGAAAGTTGCATTCTGTGGAAGGCTTTCTGCCAATACACGAAAAATAGAGTTGGGATCTTTCTCAATGCTCTGTAAGTTACTGAATAGAGTTCCACCAAGAGTAACACCAATAAATACATTCAGCACTGCAAAATAAAAATATTTCCCTGAAGCAGCTCTTGTCACATGGCTTTCTGAAGGGATGCCTTCTGCTTTGGATAGAAACATAAGAAATTTTGGCAACAAAGCCAAAAATATGATGAGCGCAAGTTGAGGCAAAAATGCTTCTAGCACTGTCTTGATTGTCTTCTGATTCACAACCGGTTTCAAAAACGGGAGAAGCTTCACCAGATTGTCTAGAGTTGTTAAAGCAGAGACGAACCCAATCGGAATCAGGTAAAAGAATATGGTCAAAAACACAACAACGTACACAACATACTGCCGAATTATTCTCACATAAAAACTTTTCGAAAGATTAGTCCAAATCAACTGCCGTGGTTCTGGAGCATCTATAACAGTCCACCTGTCAACTATAGGGGCATGTAAATTCTGTGATGCAGAAGCTGCAGCCACTCTGCTGTTGAAAAAGACCAGCGCGGAAGATTGCTGTTTCTCTTTGAGAGTCACCTTCTGTTCAACTTCTAACTGGTGGATCAACTCCTTAATTTTATCATTGTAGAATTCAATTGAATCTACTTTTTCACCAACAATACCAAGGAAACCAGTTTTATGCGAGGGTTTTAGTGCATCAGGATTTGTTTTCTTCGACTCCGCATAGATGGCTTCAGCACGTGCAAGCTTCTTTTTGTACCCTTCCAACTCTTCATAAATTTTGTTTACCTCCTTATTGTCCGTCACCACCATTGACCGATAAAATGTGTCGGGGTAGATTGCGCTAAAGAATGAATCTATCTGCTCTTTTTTACTTTGACCAACAGAGGCAGGAGGAATATCCCTGACAAGAATAGCAAATTGATCGGCTCTGATTTCTGGAGACATAAGAGCTTTAGCTCTCAATTCCGTAACATGCTTGTATGCTCTCCATAAAAGGTAGTAAGTAACAACAGAAACCCAATATGTTGCAACTATAAATGCCCACAACCGCGGTCCTGAATTCTGCAACATAAATGGGAAAAAAAAGGAAATACATGAATTCATTGAGCGACAATAAAAACGAAGAAGACTAAAATAACAGTGGATGCACAGCTTACTGCTGCATTGTAAAATTAGGCAAAGTTAACACCACGACACAGTGGTTTAAATATATTTATGGATACGGTCAAGAAAAGGTCAAAAGAACTTACGCCAATGTGTCCCATAGATAAACTATCAAGTTCATTGAAAGTCCCCTTGCTGGTGGTATTAGCTGCCTTTATACTATGATCAGTTGAAGCAACTGCTAGAAGTACAGGCAGTAGTACAATGCCGGAGAAGACAAATATTCCCAAGGCTGAAAAAATAAATGGTGTTATGCAACAATTTATACTCTCAAAGCTCACATTTGAGGTTCAACAACTTGAACATGCACTGCCTGTTCATTCACTTCGGAGTTCAAACTAAGGGAAGCAAACAAAATTTGAACATGGAATATATATCACGGATCCAACTTGACTCCAGATTACAAGTCCAGAAGACATTTCATTAAGTTAATGGGTATAGCTGCTTGTACAACAACAACAAACGCCATAATTCTAAGATAGTTTTTTTTTTTTTTTTTTGAACTGGAATATGTCACAATGTAGTATTATATTTAGGCAGACAAACAAAAATCTAAACTAGTTGGGATCCATTATATGAAATCCTCCATATCCAAAAAAAGAATTTTAACTTGCTTAAAATTGGAACCAAAACCAAATGCAAACAGTTCAAATTTTCTTGTTTGTCACCAATGGCGAAGCCAAGAATTCCTCTAGGGTGTTCGAACTTGAAAGAAAGTTAAATAAAATTCCGACAAAAGGTGTTCAATATATGCTATGTACCTCCAAAGACTTTTTTTTTGTACTAATTACCACCAAAATCCCTTTCTTTGTAAGTAAAGTAAATCCTAGAAAAGTGGTTGAATTGGTTTACTTTGAGAGCAAACCACTTGAATTCCTCATTATGCTTCCTACCAAACCCTCTACCCCACAAAAAATATAACCAAATTCTAAAAGTACCAAACTAAAAATTTACCAAAATAAGGCTGGAAAATGTAAAAATACATAAATATCCACTTTAAATAATAATAATATTGCTAAAAATTGAGCTTAAATTCTACGCACGGACAATGTAAAAATTATTAATAGGAGGTAACTATATATAATAAGCATTACTCGGTAACCTAAATAAAATGATAAATAGCCTACTATAACAGGTCAAATCATACTGATGGTGTAGAAATAATTTACGTTAGTACATAAAACTTAAATCCCTCTAAATTTAGCATAAAACAGAATTTAAAAAGAAGGGAAATTTAATTATTTACCTGTGCCAAGGAAAACAAAGTAGACAGCAGTATCAACTCCAGACATGTTGATGATATCAGTTTCAGATGAGGACATAGCTTCTCGGATCCAAGAAAATGGGTTCCGGGTCATGTACCCGCCTTCAACCGGGTTCATACCTTTAAGGATCCGGTTTGGATAGTATACCTCAGCATTCCCTGGTTTTCTTGAAAGCCATGTGAATAACAGCATCAAAACCACAAATATTATCAAGGAAGTTCCTAAAGACGTCAAGAATGATGGAAAATCCATCTGGGGTCTTCTAAAAATTCGATCTTGTCACTGTTTTGGCTGTAAAAATGCAATCTTTTCTCTGTTTTGGCTCTAAAAATGCAATCTTTTCTCTGTTTTGGCTCTCAAAATGCAATCTTTTCTTTGTTTTGGCTCTCAAAGTGCAAAATCATGTGTGTTTTTGGTTCTGGGGTCTGCTCAAAATACAATCTTTTGTGTGTTTTTGTTTATATTTCTGCTTCCTTGTATGGTGTTTGGTTTTGGGTGGTTGGTGCTTTTATTTTCAGTTTTTAAGAAGATGAAGAGAGCTATTTGTTAAAGAGCATTGAAAGATGGCCGTTGGAAGGGAAAATGGAGTGGTTTTGAAATTATGAATTTTGCTTCTTTTTTATTTTATGTGGATAAGAGAGAGCAGAAGAAGAAGAAGAAAATATCTAGCTAGTTGATGATTGGAACTTGTGGAATGTGGGGTTTTATATTGTTAAAGATGTTTCAGTGTGTGAGATTACGTGGGAATAATGTGTGTGTTATCAGTTATATGTTGCTTTTCTTTATCCAACTCTCTCTGTCGACTTCTTTTAATGCAGAAAGAGGAAAGAGGTGAAAGGAAAGCGAGAGAGAGGTGATAGTGAAGCAAAGTAGAGTCAACCTAAATGTGGTTTTTTTTGGACTCAAAATACTTTTTTAAGTGTAAAAAAAAAAGTTACATTTCTATATAAAACGCGTTATGAACCGCGTACACAATCGCGTTTTATATAGAACGCGGTAACAAACCGCGATTTAGCGGAAGCTGAAAAGACAAGTATATAAAACGCGGTGCATTATCGCATTTTATATAAAGCGCGGTAATGAACTGCGTTTTACATGTTTAGTGGGCCCACCAATAACTCTTCTGCGCTTAACTGACATAACAATAATTCAAATATGTAAAACGCCCCTTTTAAACCGCGTTTTACTTCCAAAAATTTGACCCCCGGGTTGGGCATTGCCTTATATAAAGGCGTTAAGGGTTTTGAGAATTATCATTCAGAAATACTCCAACTTCGTGATAAACTTTTCTTGTTGTTAAATTCTCAAGCTTTTTTCATAATGTCTGAAGAGCGAAAAGTAAGGGTTTCATTATATTGGGGGGGGGGGGGTGAGGTTGTGGTGGCGAATAACTCAATGAGCTATAGTTTATCTCCACAGAGTCATGTTCAGTTGCCACTTACAATGGAGTACGATAGACTGATATCGTTGTTATGCAATAAAATGAGATTGAGTAAACGTTCGGTGAATCTTAAAATAACCGGAAGATATCCGTATTCTGTGACTCCGCAAGGGGTTGCTTGTTATGCTGAGTTTAACATCGAAGACGATGAAACTCTGAGAGATTTTTTGGGGACTCCGGATGACTACAAGGAATTTATTGTGTAAAATTGTTGGAAATGTACGTCAAGGCTGAAGACGTTCGCAATAATGATGTTGCGCAAAGCAGGGATAACCCTCAATCATCGGGTGGTTATTCTGCAGCAGTTTTAGCCCAATAGGTTCCGGCTGAAAGAGTTTGGCCAGATCTAAACTTCTCTCCGTGGGTGAACGAGGAGCGAGGAAATAATTTCTCTCTTACTTTACATAATCCACAAGACGACTGGTAAACTTCAATTTTCCTTTGTGTTATGATGTTTATTTTCTGTTGAATTGAATTTGTATTAAAACTCATATATTCCACAGGGGGTACCGTCTGGATATGAATCTTACAAATTATGACCCCACGCCCAATTGGAATATGCGTAGTTTTGGCGTGTTGGATCACGATGGTCCATCCGGGAGTCATCACCAACAAGAAAATGTCTATCATGGAATGTCAACACATTACGACTTGTAAGTGAAGTGATATAGCTATATGTAAAGTATTAATCAATTTGAGTAGCTTATCATTTTGTTGTTTGTGCAGTGAAAACGAGCAACTTGATGGTCCTGACCTCACTTAGTTGCCCGTAGACGACGTATTTACTCGTGATTTGGCAGATGCGCAGAGTCAGGAAGATAATAGTGATTATGACAACAATGCCGATGAGTCTGGAGATGACACACCCTTCCCTGACGAGGGTGATGAGGAGGAGGAAGTGAATGTCGAACCCGAGCTGACGAGGGAGCATGCTCCTCCACCTCCCGTTAGACCAAGAGTGTACGAGTCCCACGTGTCATTTCATTCAAGGCATATTCCCTACCTTGATAATTTGCCAAGTATGCCGTATGTGGATGCCCTCACAAGGGATCTTGACGAAATTCGGTCAGCAATATGGGATGAGTCTAGACCAACGGTGCTGGCAAAGGGCATGTATTTTCCCGATAAAGCTCGCCTATCCAGGGCTTGTAAAATGTACAGCGTAAGAGAGTGTCGTGAGATGATGATATGGGAGTCAACTCCGGATGTATACAAGGCCGTATGCCGTAGATACTTTATGGGTTGTAACTGGATGCTGCGTGCGAGCAAGAAGAAAACAGGGTTGTGGAAAGTGGGTAAATATATTAGCATCCACGTTTGTGAAATAGACACATTCAATTCAACTTGGATGTTGACTTGATATCTCTTGTCTTGATTCCACACTTGGAAATGTCCATTAGGTACAAGATCAAAGAGTGTATTATATCCGTCCACCAGGAATATGGGTGTACTATTACCAAAAGAAAGGCATATCTGGGGCGCAAACGTGCATTTAAAATTATTTATGGTGATTGGGATAAGTCATTTTCATCTCTACCTAGGTACATGGCCGCACTGAAACACTTTAACCCCGGGACTGTTGTTGAATGGAAGCATGAGCGGAGTCCAGGAATACCGGAATATATATTCAGATACGTGTTCTGGGCATTTAAACCAACAATTGTTGGTTTTGTGCATTGCCATCCGGTAATTTCCATAGACGGTACTCATGTCTATGGAAAGTATGATATTAAGCTGTTGATTGCCGTTGCAGTAGATGCCAATGGACAAATATTTCCACTAGCTTTTGCCATTTGTGCCAATGAAAGCCAAGAGACGTGGGCGCTATTTTTGAACCACTTGAAGCAGCACTTTGTCAAACAACGCTCAGGTAGTTGTCTAATATCTGATCGACATGATGGTATATTAAGTTCTATAGAGCATTTGCCTGAATGGCAGGAACCCTATGCATACCTCTGTTACTGTGTGAGGCACCTGAAGGCCAATTTCTAGAAGAATCCCAACATGGACTTGCATGATTTAATGTGGACAGCTGCAACTGATCACCGGCAGTGCAAATTCAGGAGGCACATGGAATCGATCCGGCAGTTAGACGAAAGAGCCTATAATTGGTTGATGCGACATGAGCTTCACAAGTGGACATTGCATGCTGATGGTGGCAGACGATGGGGAACCCTGACTACAAATGAGTCGGAGTCTTTCAACGGGTTATTGAAGTCTGCACGTGGATTGCCACTGCCATGGTCCGGATGACATTCAAATAGATGGCGGAGATGTTTGTTGAAAGGGATAGAGGTGCATCAGAATTGATGGACAGTGGTGTTGAATTTATGCCAGTACCGATGAAAAAATTTGAGAAATACAGGAGGCGAGCACATTGACATTCATATTTACAGTATGATCACGACCGGGGTGTTTTTGAAGTTCGCACCGCTATCTGTTAACACTGGGAAAAAAATCTACACACCATAAATGAAGCGAACAGGTTGTGTTCATGTGGGAAATGGACAATCTACCACATGTCGTGCTCACATGCCATGAAGTGCTTTCAACAAACAGGTTTAGGGCAAAACCAATTATGTTGATAGGCAATACAGTTTTGCTGCATACGTAAACACATATAGTGGGCAGTTGCAGCCATTGGGTGCTGAGCATTATTGGCCGCCGGAACCATTTAAAATACTGTGTAACAAGGACTATTTGCGCAAGCTACAAGTGCAAAAGAGAACGCGTATACGTAACCAAATGGATGTTGGTGATACCGTTTATGCACGTAAATGTGGCATATGCTCGCAAACAGGACAGGATCGTCGTAAATGTCCTTCTGCTGGTTTGGGTGGCGGTGGTAATCCAGCTCCTGGTGCAAGATCGTCTAATGTACCCAACTATCAAGGATACACCTAGTGTTTTGTTTTCGTAATATTTTTTGTAATAAGTGTCTGTACTTGTTTATGTTGCAAGATGTATCAAATAAAATTATGTTTCCACAGCCTTGTTACATCTTATTGATATTTAACTTTTTTCAGTTGAGTAAATTAATGAATCTCTCCCTCCCGTTCATGTAATCAAAAATAGTATTGGATTATAAAACGGAAAATTTTAACGCTCATTTTCGAGTTTCACTCTAAAATTATTAGAAAACTACACTGTCAGAGGAGAAAGATGTTTGATAAATAAGTGAATATATATAGTGCGGTTAAATACTGCATTTTGTGTGTTGTCTTGTCAATCTGAAAAGTTGCCCGACTGCGAAAAAGTTGTTTCGATTCAGAAAAAATATTTAACACGCCATATATAGCGCGGTTAAATACTACATTTTCTGTGAATATTTATAGCGCGATTAAATACTACGTTGTGTGTTGTCTTGTCAATCTGAAAAGCTGCCCGACTGCGAAAAAGCTATTTCGTTTTAGAAAAAATATTTAACACGCCATATATGGAGCGGTTAAATACTACGTTTTGTGTGAATATAGCGGTTAAATACTACGTTTTGTGTGTTGTCTTGTCAATTTGAAAAGCTGCCCGACTGCGAAAAAGCTGTTTCGTTTCAGAAAAAATATTTAACACGTCATATATAGCGCGGTTAAATACTACGTTTTGTGTGAATATATATAGCGCGGTTAAATATTACGTTTTGTGTGTTGTCTTGTCAATCTGAAAAGCTGCCTGACTGCGAAAAAGCTGTTTCGTTTCAGAAAAAATATTTAACACGCCATATATAGCGTGGTTAAATACTACGTTTTGTGTGAATATATGTAGCGCGATTGAATACTACATTTTGTGTGTTTTCTTGTCAATTTGAAAAGTTGCCCGACTGCGAAAAAGTTGTTTCGTTTCAGAAAAAATATTAAACATGCCATATATAGCGCGGTTAAATACTACATTTTGTGTGAATATATATGGCGCGGTTGAATACTACATTTTGTGTGCTGCCTTGCCTATAAATAACGAGCGCTTTCTAGTTATTTTTTACGCTTAACAATAACCAATAGCAAAACTATCCATAAAAGCAAGATTTTTTTTTACGCTTTAACAAATGTGTGAACGCCTTTATGTACCAAGGTGCGAGTGCGACAAAAAATGCATGATGAAAGACTTTTGGGACGATGGTGAAGTTGGACGCCGCTACTGGATGTGTGTGAACAAGTTTTATAGGGTTCCCGACGAACCTGTTTGCAATTTTGAGGTATGGATTGATGAACCCTGTCAGCAGGAATACTACAACGATTCTTTGCAGTATCTTCATGATTTGACCAAAAAATAGTGGGAATATGAACGAGAATACAAACAAGAAGTTGCGGAGTTGAAGGAGAAACTCAAAG